CTAGAGTGAGGTCTAAATGTCTACATCGGAACATTCACCCAACTAACCAACTCCTTGAGAGTACGTGGGGCATCTACTCTCGGTCGATAGATAAGTACCTTGTGCACTAGATTAGTTTTGTCCAGACATTCTAACATGCAAACGTTTATCCTATAACTAGAGCAACTCGAGTGTCTGATTCATTTCCCAAGCATCATACAAGGCCAATCTTATAATTCTCTAAGTTATAGGGTTTCTAAGTGTAAATTTCACTTATTAATACAATTTTCCCTTGATATTTTATTGGAGGTAATTGGGGTGTTCTTAGGTCCTTCAATTATATCTTTAATTCCCCTTATTATCTTGAACCAAAATGTGTGATGGCATTGATATTGAGCCTCTCGTTATCAGTATTGGCCCACGAGTGTCGATACTCATACTCGGTATCGATACTGTACATGAAATTGAAGGTTAAGATGAAGGGATAATATCGATACTTTTAAGTGAGTATCGATACTCTCCAGCTAGAGTATCGATATCAACCGGGGTATCAATACTAAATTGGGTTTCGATATTTAGAAAATTACCTAGGTATCGGTACTCCTATGGGGAGTATCGATACTCTACCCTTGGTATCGATATCCCATAAGTATCGATACCAAAAATGGACAGTAGAATTTTGATCTCGAAACCCCTCATACTAGTATCGAGACTGGACCCTCGGTATCAATACTCAACGTATGAGTACCGATACTGCTACCCCATGAGTTTATTAGGGTCATGAAGAGTCAATTTACAAGCTTAAAAATACATAAATCTAAGATTTGCCATGAACATGCTCATATGCTTCAAATTTAATGCAAGCTAAGTAAATGCACGAGAAGGCCTAGAAATGGTATAAAAGGGTTAGAAGTGTGTTACCTTAGAGTCTTGGTAGTTGAAAAACGTTCTAAATCACCCAAGAGCTAACTTCTTATTTCCTCTAGCCTTGGAACCTTCTCCAACTTCTCTCACTAATGTAACATGGAGAACACATTACTAATTTATTTATGAGACTAATATAAGTTTAAGAACATTTTCCTAAACTCAAATATACTAAAAACGAGCTAGAAATCCTTAGTTCCCTAAACCCTCACTAAACTCTCAACTATGGTCATTATGACCAAACTATGGGATTAGGGGCTCAAATGAAAACTTGGGGTGAGTATGTTATGATTCTTACCTTAGAATTTTCTCAAAGAGCTAGGAGGGTAGTCAAGTTTCTACCTTTATTAGTTTTCTTGAAAGAGAAAAGATGGAGCAGAAAAAGAAGATAGAGGACAAGAAAATTATGAAAATGAGGGAAATAGGGGGAGTGGTTAAAGCATAATACATCACCCAAATTAAAACAATTCAACAACTGTTTTCAAGAATGACTTAATTCCCCTTTTATTCCTTCAACTCTCACTTGGATAATAAAATGATCTTCATTCTATCAATTGGGCCAAACTCAAGCCCACTTCCAAACTTAATTTGGTCCAAACTATTCTATAAGTCTATTGGGCTCGTTTATGAACCTCGGGTTAACCCAAAACTACTAACTCGAGGTTCGAGACGTTACAAGTCAAGTTTATGAAATTTAAGTTAAATCAAATATATTTATTTAAATTTAATTATAATTATTTATAATATTACGATACTAAGTGTTTCATTTTAAATGATTCTATTTAACCACATATGATATGCATATATTTTTTATATTCATTTTTTATGTGTGCAAATAAGATTTATAATGTTATTTAATAAATAAAATATCATTTAAAATTATATAATATATTTATACTATTACTTTTTTTAAAAAAAACAAGTAGGTTTTGAGGACAAAATATTGATGAGAGTACTAATTGGAAGAAGAAATTGAAAAGAGTTGCAATCATAGGACCGAATTGAATAAAACACAAGATAGAATGACTAAATTGAAAAGAGTATAAATTTATTGTCAACTCGAGAATTTGAAGTTACATATATATTCTAAAGTGGTTGAAGAACATTTGTTTGAATTGGTAAAAAATATACTTAAAACGAATGGAGAATTGAAAAAAAAGGTTAGAGATCAATTCACAAAACTATTAAATTACTTAGTTAAAGATTACAACTTCGATATAATTTGTGGTTTTTTCGGTTAATTTTACTTTAAAAGTTCAAATTCCAAGAATTTAAAATTCAAATAAAAAAATTAAGTTGACACAAATAATTTAAAATTATCAAATTTATTTCGAGTGGATCGAAATTTGTTTGTCCCTATTTCGAGGATGAATAGAAGATAAGATGGGAAAGATTGAGGAGGTTAGATCATAATTAATTGTGTTCAATTAGGGCATTGATAATAATCTGACTATCGATTAAATTTGCACGTGCGCCACTTGTTTCGAGTTAATGTATGTTTCATATTTCAAAATAATGAAAGATTTTAGGCAAAATTAGGTTTAAGGTTTTGGATTTCTATCTTTTTCTAAACAATTAATCCATTGGACCAAACATGGAGAGTTGTAGAAAATGGGGACAGACACATACAGGAAGTTAGCAAGTATAATCATCGGTATCTATTTATTGATCGATTAATTCGGATTAGATACTACAAAGGCAAGATCGACCCTCTTAACTGAGTTTATTCCATTTGCAATCGTCAAAATTCGAATCATTGACCTTGCTTAAGTTAAAATCTAATTCCTCATCCTACTAGACCAATTGATTGTTAATACATACATGTTTATAGAAGCAAATCCACATCCATAAAAATGATCAACTTATTTTGCAATTTATCAGGGAAATAAATCTCGCGCTCGAAAAATTAATTTTAATTAAATTTAAATGTAATTATAATCAAAGCAAATTTTGAGATAATTTTTTCCCGACGAAGGTTCAAGGAAATTTACTTTACAGAAACTCGGCCGTCGTTTCATTCAAATACTGTCATTTTAAATTGTTGCTGTTGTTTTAACATACGCCACTATTGTACAAAATGGGATTTTGTTATCTGAATGTATCATTTTAAAAATGAAAATCAAGGTGATAATTATTTCTAATTATTTATTAACGTGACACGTTAATTAAATCTGAAAAAAAAAATCCTAAACTGTCGTGTGTGATATCTTTGCTTTAAGAAAGCTACTTTTATATGGTATATATAGAGTTTATAAAGAAGATACCCAACTTCTATATGTAACCTACCACAACCATAGTAGTTTCGAGCTGACATTTCCAGAGCGTTCCTTTCTTCTCCATCTGTTTATCTGTTGATGTTTTTTTTCTGTTTCTTAAAATTTGTGTAGAATTTTACCCAGATTTTGAGATATTTCTGGTGTTATTATCGGTGGTGGATTATTGTGGTTTAGTTAAAAGAATACGTTATGGGAGAGGAGGAAGCCACTGAACCCAAGGAGATGCAACAACCTGTTAAACAAGACATGGAGGAGGATCATGGACCATCACCCCATATCCATGAAAGTATGATTTCTCTCTGTTTATAAGCACTTTGAATTGTTCCAGTGATTTATGAGATTATCAGGTTATTGTTTCCAGATTCTTCGCTTGCAAGAGTTGAGGCTGAAAAAAGACTAGCTTTAGTCAAAGCGTGGGAGGAAAATGAAAAGGCAAAAGTAGACAATAAGTAAGCCACAATCATCTCTAAATTCTGTACAAAATCCTTATTTTAAGCAATTTAGAATTCTGGGAAATGTTGAATCAGGGCACATAAGAAGATATCTGCTATTGGATCATGGGAGAATACCAGAAAGCTGATGTAGAAGCACAGCTAAGGAGCTTCGAGGTAACCACTGAACAATTTGAACTAGCTTTAGATTACTGAATTTGACCAAGGGCTTCGTTTTTTTATAGGAAAAACTGGAAAAGAAGAAGGCAGACTATGCTGAGAGAATGAAGAGCAAAGCGGCTGAACTCCGTAAGGAAGCAGAAGAGAAAAGAGCGATGGTCGAAGCCGAGAAAGGCGAAGAGTTTCTCAAGATAGAGGAGACAGCAGCTAAATATCGTTCAACTGGATATATACCGAAGAAATATCTTGCATGTATCAGCAGTTGACATCTTCAACTGATATTTAGTAGGAGAATTTTTTTCCTGGAATTTGGTTTTTCTTTGCTTATGTTGGCTTGTAAGTCGGACATTCTACTATTGGTGATCATCATTTTCTCTGTGCGTGAACATGTAGATTGAAAAGTAATATTTAATATATGGATCATCCTTGGAAAACTTGGTCAGGGAGTGTGTGCATCTCTATCATTCAACATAAAATGTGGCCCTATTCTTAGAACAATGAAGTTGTAGATTGTTTCCTGTAACGTTTCTTTTGATAATGTCTCTTTTGGTAACTATTCTTTCGATAATCTCTCTTTCAATGAAGTTTATTCCGATAACTCCTTTTTTGATAATATCGTTTATTCCCATTTTTTTTAGTGTAGCACATAGAAAGGTAAAGGAATTAGATAAGCCTAATTCTAAGGCCCTACTATAAAGTCTAGGCTTATTTGTTACCATCCATGGAAGGCCCCGAAGCCGTGTTGGGTTGCCCCCCATTGAGTTGAAGCCTCCAAATTAAAATGGAATTTTGCAGAAAAAGTTACATGGCATCCACACATGACACCTTTAGAACCTTTTCCCTAACAAAACTCCAGCACAGCTGATTCCACGTGGCGAAACATCAGCGGATGCCAAGTTGAACTGCCATGCGAGTGTTACCCTGAGGCCTGAAGAATAGATTATGTCACTCATATCTTCTTCTTGCTTCATTCCGTAGTTCAAGCTATGTTCAACAAGCCTCGACGATATTGTTGTGTCGGAGCAAGAGAAAGAAGTGGATGATAGAGTAGGTGATTTTACGTTATTGAAAAGGCCTGAACAGGTAAGTGACTGCACAGAGATCAGTGAGAAAGTAAGGCAATTTGAAGATTTAGAAGCTGATGGGGAAAGGGTTGAGGCAGAGATAGAAGCTAATACGCTGGGTAATGCAACAAAGGGTAGTGTCGAGGAAGCATTATGGTGATCAATCTTTGAAAGAAACATCGAACTCCGTTAAAGCAGAAACTGTTCCCACCAATCCTGAAGATTATGGTGATCTCCCTTCTGTATCACCTCAAGAGGTCAGTTTAGTGTAGCTTTTTTCTCCTTAAGTTATTACTGCTCATTTTTGGAACATGACTTGTGATGTCTGATCATCTTGGCGTCTCATACAATTATAGGATAGTGACTGGACCAGGGCAGAAGATCTGCTTAAGACTGGACATGCTCTAGCACGAGAGGTTTTGTCGTTAGTGAAACTCTTCTATTATGCCTAGTTGCATATGTATACATTTTCATGACTCGATTTTACTGCTTCATCATAGGTATCTTTTGGTTCTTTAATTGGGTTTCTGCCTTACCGCAACCTGGCTCCTAAACAGAAGTTCTTAGCGTTTGAATCATGGTTGAGACAGAAGGGCCTAGACCCATCTGATTATAAGCAGCACTTAGGAGTCATTGGAATTTCTGATCTAATGAACAAGAACTCTTCTCTGGATTCAATCTCAGATTCGGAAAACAACAAAATTTGAGGGAAAGTTTTCACCACATGAAATTTGAAGATCTTTTGAGGATTTATGATCAAGATAAGCTTAAATTCCTGTCCTCATTTGTCGGTCAGGTATGAATATATATAAATATATACACACGCAGTGAAACAAGTTTTTTGGATCGTTTAATTAACCGAGTTTAATAGCTGAGATTAAAACTTTTAAATGGAAGATTATCTATTTTTCTTATAAAAATCTACTCATTTTTCTACTATTAACCTCATCCATCCATTTTCTCTCATCCAACAACCCAAAAAATATGTAAAACTTAGGTTTTACGCTGTGTCAGTTGATCCTACCTGTCATTCTCTCCAATATATATATTAAATTGTGTTATTGATTTCCATATTGTATATTAAATGTACTTGATATTTACAGAAAGTCAAAGTAAATGTGCTAATGGCTGACAGAAAGTTCAGAGAACTTGTAGTTTCTCTGAGGCCAAAAGAAACGGAAGAGTTAATAGAGAAAAAGAGAAATGTTAGAGGTGAGTAGCTGTATGATGTTTCAATATTTCCTTAAATATATAGATATATATGTTGGTAATATTGACTGCAAAATCACTCCGTTAGCACTAACTAGAAAATAAATAAATAAATAATTTGAATCAATCGAATCCGTGTTGTGGTAAAATCATTGCCTGGAAATGAACTCAGCCCGATGTGTGTAACCACTCCAATAGGCGTATCGTCCCCAGAGGTTAGCACAGTCGCTTCAAATTTCATACATCCGAAATTGGAGTGAACTACTGGTAGTACTGCTCCTCTGATCGTCGGAAAGACTTAGAAGCTTAGAAAGATTTTAGAGAATTGAGAAATGTTTGAGTAAATTATGGATGAGTTGAGAGTGAAATGAGCTCTCTACTTATAGGATGCGACCAAGGTAAAAACGTCTAAAAATATTAGAATTAAAATTCTAATTTAATTCCAGAAATTTAAATCTTTGTAACTCATGATTTTAATCATATGAAACTACTGAAATAACACAATGAACCTGATTCATTATGTAAAATCAACCCATTTGTAGCTCCATAAATAAATTTCCGTAAATCTTGTAACCGGCCCATTAACAACTTGTTCTTTATCTTGAACAAGGATGTGAAATATGTTGAATACATTTTGATATTTCGATATAACAAATTAAGATAAATGAATTTTAAGATTTTCTAAGCATATTCGATATAATTATTCGAATACGAAAATTATTACTCCAAGTTTTCAAAAGTCCATTTCAATCCTTACTCAAGTGTAAAATTAAGTTTCAATCTTAAAATATATTTGAAACAATTTTTACAAAGTATTTCGAGCCATATTCGAGCCAAAAATAAAAATTATTTAGTATGGTATCGTACCCCCTATAGGGTACCGATACCCCTGTGAACACTTTGTTTCTGAGAAATAACAGAACGCTCGAAAGGTATCGATACCCCTCCCATAGGTATCGATACCCCCATGCAATGGTATCGATACCCCTAAGATGGTACCGATACCCTAAGGCATATAACAGTCGAAATATTTGAATTTTACACTACAGGTACCGATACCCTATGAAGGGGTACCGATAGCCCCCACGCTCCAAGCTGTTTTATTAATTGTTTTCACACTCAAACGGCTCCATTGACTCCACTACTCATCCCCAACGTTCAGAATCATTTGAAGGTGTATTTAAACAAGCTTAGAAGCCATTGATCAAGAACAAGAAACAACAAGCAAAGAATCAAGAGAGAATAAAAGAGAAAGCATCAAACCTCAATTTTGAGCATTTCAAGCCTATTTTTCATTCAATATTCATTTTGCTTTCAAGAACACTACTTGTACTCAATTGTATTCATTTTTGAGTGTTCTTTTCTTTGTTCTAGAATTGTGCAAACAAACTACCTTGTGAGGATTTCCTTGTAAGTTTGCAAATTTGTAATCTTCTCTTTGAGAAAGAGTGTTCTCAAGAATTGGGTATATTCTTGAGGGTGTTGTAAGGTTATCTCTTTGGCCTCAAAAGAAAGAACAAATTAGTGATTTTTTTGGAAAATCCTTAGTGTGGATAAACTAAGGTAGTGGACGTAGACTTTGGTTGAGAAAGTCGAACCACTCTAAATCGCTGTGCAAATCTTTTCAATTTTCTGCAAAAGCTTCCACCAAAATTTTTATTGCCAATTCACCCCCTCTTGGCCGATTCCGTCGATCGATTAACTCAACAATTGGTATCAGAGCTTGACTCATTTGAAGGTTTAACCGCCTCTTGAGTAGATCCGGGAAGAGTTACATCGATAATCAAAGTCATCAATGGCCACCACTTCAAACGTCGACTCCGGTCTCAATTCGATGCCCGTCAATAAGCCTCATTTCTTCAATGGAGCTAACTATGCCTATTGGAAGAATAGGATGATGTATTTCATTCAAGCCAGTGACATGGGAGCATGGAATGTTGTAGAAGATGGATATATCAAACCTCTCACTCATACAAGATTGTGGAGTGAAGGAGAGACAAGAATGTTCCAGCTCAACTCCAAAGCTATCCATATCATATTTTGTGCTCTTGGACCAGATGAATATGGAAGAGTTTCATCTTGTACAACCGCCAAAGAAATATGGGATAAACTACAAGTCACTCATGAAGACACCGATGAGGTAAAAGAATCTAAAATTAGTCTTCTAACACATAGCTATGAAAATTTCAGGATAAAACCAAATGAATATATCAAAGCTATGACGGATAGATTCTCAACTATTGTCAATTGTCTCAAATCATATGGAGAGATCATTCCTAACGAGAATCTTGTGAGGAAGTTAGTTTACTCACTTCCAAAATCATGGTAATCTAAGAAGACGACAATCATCGAGGCTAAGAACCTAAAGTCCTTAACGCTTGAAGAGCTAATCTGTTCTCTCCTCACTCATGAAATGATGCTTGAAGATGAGGTGGATCTCAATAAGATTGAAGAGACATCAAAGGAGAAGGAGAAGAAGAAAAACATTGGAGTTGCTCTCAAATCCACAAAAGATGAGAGTGATTCGGATGACGAGGAAATGACATTGTTTTCCAAACGGTTCAGAAAAATGATGAGACATTACCGATGAAGAAAATTCAAACGAAATGAAGGCCTCAAAAACGAACCAAAAGAGAAGGACCCGATCATTTGCTATGAATGCAAAAAACTGGGGCATGTCAAATATGATTGCCCACAATTGAAGAGAAAGAGTCAATCAAAGAATAAGCACAAGGCTCATGTGGCTACATGGAGTGATGAAGAAGGTTCCGATGAAGAGGAACAAGAAGTAGCAAACTTGTGCTTGATGGCATTTGGGAAAGATTCTAAGGTAACCTCTAACTCATCTGATTTTGATGATTTATCTTATGATGAGCTATTAGAGGAATATAATGGGTTAGCTTCGGATTATGAGAAATTGTTTTTAAATTATAAAAATGATATTTCAAAATTGAAAAATGAATATAAACTCATATCCAAAACCAACAACGATCTTGAAAGTAAAATCAAAGATTTGCAAATCAAACTAGAAGAGTTTGAAAAGAAAAATTCGGATTTGCAAAATTTACTTTCAAAGGTCAATGATGATCATCAAAAGAAAATTGATGATCTTAAAGCTTCTTTTGATAAAGTTGGAACAAAACGTTTTGAAAAAGGAGAAAATTCAAAATCCAACTTGTTAGAAAAAGTTTTAAAAATTACAATCATAGAGGTCCCCGAAGAACCTCTAATGGAAAAATCGTTAGAAGTATGTGGGTTCTTAAAGAACTCATTACTACTAAAGATAAAGATATCCTACACAAATGGATACCTAAGGGGACTAGGATTTTGGAAACTAATGAATATGGACCCAAAAGAATTTGGGTACCAAAAATAAAAAATCAATCTTTGTTTGTAGGGAAAGGAGTATTGCTACAAGGCACGGGAAACAAATTCAAATTCATGGTACCTTGATAGTGGATGCTCAAGACACATGACCGGAGACAAAAGCCGGTTCATAGAGCTTAACGCCAAAAATGGAGGAGAAGTTACTTTTGGTGATAATTCAAAAGGTCACATTGAAGGTATATGTACTATAGGTAATACCTCTTCCATACAAATTAAGAATATTTTATATGTGAATGGATTAAAGCATAATATTTTGAGTATTATTCAATTTTGTGATAAAGGATTCAATGTCATGTTTGAAACTAATGGTTGTAAAGTTATTGACATTGCATCTAATCGGATTATGCTTGTTGGTCATAAAATAGGAAACATTTACATGGTGCATTTAGATTCTATTAATGTGACTAATTTATGCCTATTTGCAAAAGATGAGCAAGATAGTTGGTTATGGCATAGGAGACTAGGACATGCTAGCATGAGTGTTTTGCAACGGTTAATTCAAGGAGACTTAGTAAGAGGGCTGCCTAAACTGAAATTTGATAATGATAAAATCTGTGATGCTTGTGCTAAAGGAAAACAAAAGCGAGTTTCTTTTAAATCCATTAATGACGTATCAACTAGTAGAGTATTACAACTGATCCATTTAGATCTTTTTGGGCCATCTAGAACTACTAGCTTGGGTGTGAAACAATATGCATTTGTCTTGGTAGATGACTATTCTAGATATACTTGGGTTCTATTTTTAAGTACTAAAGATGAAGCATTAGAAAAATTCATCACGTTTTCAAAAGTAATCCAAAATGAAAAAGGTTACTCTATAACTAGTGTTAGGAGTGATCATGGAACTGAATTTGAAAATCTTGGATTTACTGATTTTTGTAATTCTAATGGTATTAGCCATAATTTTTCAGCACCTAGA